GAAGAGCTAAAGAATCAAGCTATTTTGTAGCGGGACCTTGTGCCTCTGGAAATTAACAGATTAGTTGGTTCCTTGACCTTTGTGACTCCCTGAACAACCTGCACAGCGGCCAGCGAGGTAGGCCTGTGCTCATACTCTCACATGCAGGCATAAAGATGATTGACATTTGCGAAAAGCTGATGTTTTGGATCACATCCTCCTATGAGGCCACGCTAGCAGCACCCCCCTCCTGGACAGTGTGGTCTAGGTTGGTACCTTGCTGGCAGCAGCACACATACTTCTGAACCCCCCCCCCCTTCTCTTAGCTTCTACAGCTTGCAAAGGCTAACTGTTAGTCCCGGAGGGGAGACAGTTTGTGGAGTGCTAAGACACAGTGCATTAGAGTTTGGATCCTGTTCTTTAAATTCTGTATAACTCCCTCACCTGTAAAAGGGCAGTCTGTAGGACTATTGTGAAGATAAACTGAGATGGTACAAGTATAGGACTCAGTACCGTGCCTAGCGTGGGAAAGGCATATCGTAAGTAGAAGTTCTTCTGTCAGTTTGTCATCACTTCATCTTCCTGAGACAGATGAATGCATTTGTCACCTTAGGCTTCCTTAGAGTGCCTAAGGAATAGCCTTGAGAAGCCAGGGAGGAATGGCTTTTAAAACATATTGGTGGTGGCACACACCTTTAATCCCAGTATTTGGGAGACAGAGGCAGGGGGAATCTCTGAGTTTGAGGAACTACAGAGTGAGTTCCAGAACAGTCAGGGCTACACAGAGAAACTCTGTCTGGGAGAAATTCTGCCAGAAAGCAAGCTTCTACATATCTTCCACAAGAGACACCTGTTTCCAATAGTGTTGATGTCATTATCGGACTAGAGCAGAGGAGCCAGCTGGCCTCCAAAGGGCCAGCTGGGGAATGATCGTAATAGGGGGCAACAAACTTATCTACTTATTGTATAATTGTTTCTCTGTTAACAGATATTGTTGGTCAGGTGTTTGCTGGAAGGAATCACAATTGTGGACTCAGAGGTTCATCAAACCCTAAGAATGAATTCACACCAAGACTCCCTTGGGCCCCTGACTTATAGAAAATGCCAGGTTCCCCCTTACAGTGAGGGCTACAACTGCCCTGGGTCCCAGGTGTGAGAGTCTATTTACAGCAGACATTTTGGGCAAGTGGGTGCACTCAAAAGACAGAACTTCAAACCCATGGGTTAAATAAGGAATACAAAACAATATTTAGCTGTCATCAAAAGCACTGTATTGGGAAAACTACTGTTTTGTAACATAGTTCTTTTGTAACAATTGAAGCCTGGGGATGAGCTGGAGTTGAAGCATTCTCTGGAAAAAAATGGTGATGGTTTCTGCTCTTGTTCTTTTTTTTTTTTTCCTTTTAAAGCTCTTTGCTTCTTACCAGAAAACCCTGTGGGGGGTGTGTGTGTGTGTGTGTGTGTGTGTGTGTGTGTGTGTGTGTGTGTGTGTGTGTGCGTGTCTGTCTGTGTCTGTGTGATATGTAGTATGTGCATGTATGTGCATGCAGATAGAGGCCAGAGGCTAAGGTCAGGTGTTACTCCTCAGGCATCTACTACCTTCTCTGAAACAAAGCCTTTCATTGGCCTACACTTTTTGCAAAGTAGGCTAGGCTAGCTGGTAGGTGAGCCCCAGGGATCTGCACATCACTGCCTCCTCTCTTACCAGCACTGGGATTATGTGTGACGTGCTCCTCAGTTTATGTGAGCCCTAGAGATTTAGGCACAGTCCTCACACTGGCAAGGCAAGTGCTTTGCCAGCCAAGCCGTCTTCCAAGTCCATCATTTTATTTTGGTGTTTTAAGTTACAAGCAATGCAGTTTTACAGTAGACAAATTTTGAAGCAAACAGGGAATATAGGTGGAAAGTGGATATCACCCAAGAGTCACAATGGTGAATACTTGTTATCAATGGCTAATTATATCATTGTATAACATAGTGTAACTTTTCTCATTCTTGTTATCTGCTTCTTGAGTAGTGAGACTTTATTATCATACCAAAGTATATTCAAATGACAGCGTGAAGTGGTTTGATCAGTTTCACCCATTGCACATTAGCTAATTCTTGCTGGCTTTAGTTTGTTATTTTTATATCCTTGGCCCGAGATTTTGAGATTCCTCTCACTGCTTTCGCTTTTTAACTTACACAAGGATCTCTTACTTTGTTACAAAGTTCAGTATGTGGCAACAATGTGTAAGAGATATGAATATAAAATTAAAATTAAATGTTAAATGTCTAAATTAACAAAAGACATTTTGCTAGGCTGTCATTTGTGGAATAAATGAACAGAGCTTGATTTTAGCCCCATGACTTTGTAAAACGGAGAAAAATGATGTCTTAAAAACAGACAACTGGGTATAATCGGAAAACTGGGAGGGGCTATGTACTGAGCACAGGGTATGATGGGACAATTGGGAGGGGCTGTGTAGTGAACACATGATGGGAAGATTGGGCGGGGCTATGTGTGAGCACAAGGTATAATGGGAAGCTTGGGAGGGGCTATGTGTGAGCACAAGGTATGATGGGATAATTGGGAGGGGCTGCGTACTGAGCACAAGGTATGATGGGCAGATTTTGAGGGGCTGTGTACAGAGACGCTGTGTTAGTTATGTTTCTATTGCTGTGATATGACACCATGACCAAGGCTTTCTTTCAGAAGAGTTTATTTGGGGATTACAGTTTCAGAGGGGTAGAGTCCTTGGCCTTCATCATGAGGGCCATGGCAGCTGGCAAGCAGGCCTGGCACTGCCGCAGAAGCCGAGAACTCACGCTGAAACACAAAAGCCAGGCAGGGAGAATTAACTGGAAGGGGTGTGAACTTTGGAAACCACTGTTTCTGTGCCTCCTAATCAGTCCTAAACAACAACACAATAAAGGCAAAGACAAAAGGGTAGTGAAAGTAGTTTTCAAACCCAGCATCCTTTTGATACCAACATCTAAGATAGTAGTTTAATACCAACCAATTTTTACTTTGTTATAAACAAAACTATAACAACTATAAATTTCATTTAATTATGAAGCCTCATTGATGGGGAGCTGGACAGATGGCTCAGTGGTTAAGAGCACCGGCTGCTCTTCCAGAGGACCCAGGTTTAATTCCCAGCACCCACATGGAAGCTCACACCTGTCTGTAACTTCAGTTCCAGGGAATCTGACACCCTCACGTAGACATAAGCAGACGAAACCTCATTGAAGACTATTACTTTCCAAGCCCTAAATCAGCATAAGCAGATAAAAACCAAGCACACAAGCAATTAAGAATCATTTAGAGGCCAAGTAAACACTCAGCTGCTGTTGACAGCTGTGCCTTCAGCACATATGGTGGAAGGAGTTGTGTGGCTATGGCAAGAAGTCTCCCATATTGCCGGGGCCATCAAGGTCCAGGACTAAACATAATGTGTTTCTGTTTGTATGAAAGAAACTATCTCTGTGGGAAAACATGTGCTTGCATGCATTCATGTGTGTATGTGTACGTGCACATGGGTGTGGGCATGCATGTGTGCATGTTGACATTATTATGCTTGTGTGGAGAACCTATTTGTAAAGTTAAAGGCAACTTTGTAGTGGTTGGCTCTAGAACAGAAAAATAAAAGATTGGGATTGAGTGAGAGCCTTGTTTCTAAATGTTTTTTATTTATTTGACTTTTAATTCGTATATGCTTGTAGTTTTAAAACTGTTAGGGGTTTTTTTTTTTAAATGGTAGTTCTGTATCAAAATTTCTCCAGAAAGTTGTAAGAAATGAGTTTCCCTTTCCTGTTGTAATCCTATAAAGAATACCCCATCCCAACAGCATTGTAGTAGCAGTGAGTTCTAGGTGGGGCACCTCAGGCCTTGGGCTCCAGGGATGCCAACAGTAGCTAGATGGAATTACTATGATTAATGGCTGCTTCTTAAGACATTTACAAAAAAAAAGCATGGACATAAAGGCTGCGGCACTGAGCCGGCCTCATGGGAGTTGCTAAAAATGTAATGTCCAAGTTATAGAATATAAGAATCATTCAAAGTATTTACTTTTTAATCATTAATCTATTAGAAATTCAAGATTGAATTTAATTACATAAGGTGATAACGTTGCAACGATTTATAATTTTAATGAACAGTTTTTTACTTTATTTTTTGTGTATATGAGTGTTTTGCTTTTATGTACATATGTGCACCATGTGCATGCAATGCCTAAGGCGGCCAGAAGAGGGCATTGTATTCCTGGAATTGGATTATGAGCCACCATATAGGTACTGGGAAGCTAACCAGGCTCCTCTTAAAGCGCATCCAATGCCCTTTACAGCTACTCCAACTCTCCAGCCCTGTTTATAACCTTTAGGTTTTTTATTTTAAAAAAGGTTTCACAGTTTATAGTAATCGTGTTATAATAGAATTAATAGAATGTAGGTTTTTGTTGTGTATAGATCTTCTGCAGATATTAAAACCCAAACCAATTGTTTGTGGTAAAGTGTCACTAGGCTAGGATGGAACTCATTATTTTTTGCCTTCAGTTCTCAAGAATTGAAAGAGGGGCCAGGCTGGAGAGATGGCTCGGTTCTTCCCAAGGTCCTGAGTTCAATTCCCAGCAACCATACAGAGGCTCACAACTACCCATAATGAGATCTGGTGGTGCCCTCTTCTGGCCTGCAGGCATACATGAAGGCAGAGCACTGTGTACATAATAAATAAATCTTAAAAAAAAAAAAAAAGAATTAAAAGGGTGTGCCCGTGCCATGACACACCTGATGTTATTTTTAAAGCACGTCCGTCATATTTCTAGATGTGTGTCACTTCACCTGAATCACTGCACTGTTGTTAATCATCCCATTATGAAAATGGTCAAAGGATAAATGAAACAAAGCGAGAGAAGAGGTATTCGCATAGTACTCTGTGTGTTGTTTCCTCAGTGTAGAATCCCCTACCCCATTTTGAGCACACTCTTAGAGAGGGCCGTGTGGGCTGAACTAACCTGATGGTGCTGTTGTTGCAGGCCAGGGAGACATGTCCTCCTTTGAAGACGCAGACACAGAAGAGACCGTCACTTGTCTCCAGGTGACTGTTTATCATCCTGGCCAGCTGCAAAGTGGAATATTTAAATCAATAAGGTTTTGCAACAAAGAGAAGTTTCCTTCTATTGAAGAGGTGAAATTTGGACGGAATTCCAACATCTGTCGGTATACTTTTCAGGACAAACAGGTTTCCCGAGTTCAGTTTGCTTTACAGCCATTTAAACAGTTCAACAGCTCTGTCCTCTCGTTTGAAATCAAGAACATGAGTAAGAAGACCTGTTTGATGGTAGACAATCAGGAGCTTGGCTACCTCAATAAAATGGACTTGCCTTACAAGTGCCTGCTCAGGTTTGGAGAGTACCAGTTCCTCTTGGAGAAGGAAGATGGAGAGTCAGTGGAATCTTTTGAGACTCAGTTTATCTTGTCTCCAAGACCACTCTTGCAAGAAAACAACTGGCCAACACAGAGTCCTATACCCGAGGATGGGGGTTATTCATCCTATTTCACCCACAGGACTTCTCCTACAGAAATGGATGAAAATGAATTGTGAACAGAGTCCAAGCGGAGAAACATGAAGGATGAGGACACGTATGTGGACCCTTGAGAGACATTCTACTTCCTAAGAGTCAATGAGTGTAGTGCATGCTGACTTTGGATTAAGTAACAGCATCTGGAAATCTGTGTTTGTCGTCAACTTAGTCAGCTAAGCATTCAGAATCTACAAAGAATTAAGTGAACATCTGTAAGGGATAGTGTATAAGCATGTCTTCTGTGTAATGTTATTCTTGTTCCTTTTTCTGCTTGATGGTACACCCATGCTTTGTTCTGGTAACAACCATCTCCTGGTTTGGTCACATCATTTCATGGCAGCATTTTCTTTTCAGGTTCAAAACCAGGGCAGATTGTTTGCTGGTGCCTGTGGCATGTTAATACTTGTAGAGTTACAGTCCTGGAATGAGCTCTTGCGTACCATCTGAGTCACTGTGGTTTCATTATGGAATGAATGACTTGAGAAATAATACCTCAATATTCTTTCTATGGAATTACAATGTTTATTCCTAAAATGGCAGTTTTACTTTTCTGTATGTAGGACCTGCAATTAACATTTAAAGAACATTGAGATTAAAATTATCTTCTTACAACATTGAAATGGCTGGGCACAAGCCTTTAATCCCAGTACTTGGGAGGCAGAGGCTGAGTAGGAGAGGGGTGGGGTGGGGTGTCTATAATCTAGTTTGAGACAGCTTGGTCCACAGAGCAAGTTTCAGGATAGCCAAGGATACACAGAGAATCCCTGACTTGAAAAACAAAAATATAAACAAAGCCACCGCTAACAACAAAAGCCAAAAATTCAGAATGAATTTTATCCATCTTACACAATTCAAAAATTATAGAAATCAAAACTTTTTTTTGGTTTGGATTTTTTCGAGACAGGGTTTCCCTGTGTAGCTTTGGAGCCTATCCTGGAAGTAGGTCTTATAGACTAGGCTGGTCTCGAACTCACAGAGATCCACCTGCCTCTGCCTCCCCAGTGCTGGGATTAAAGGCATGTGCCACCACCACCCAGCTAAGATCAAAACTTTTAACGCCTCTTTGCATATGATAATGCCAGGGCTCAGTCCCCTTGACACTTCTCTGGGACTTCCTAAAGAAGGCAAACATTCATGCTTAGACAATGCTATAGAAGTAAGTATGTGTGGATATTTATAATAAGTGCTTATATATTTCTAAACTTTTAGTCTCACAACTCTTAGAAGTTGTGTTTACTTAAGTGATTCTCATTCAGTTCACTTTAGCTAGATTAAGGTGAATGTTAGTGAATGCTAGCTAAAAGAGGATGACAGCCACCAAGCTAAGATAAATTCTAACATTCCCAGAGAGTAAGGCTCCCTGTGTAATTACTTTGGTAAATGAAATTTCAAGCTATAACAGGTGTGTGTGTCGGGGGGGGGGGGGAACTAACCATATACATATTTTTGTTTGTTTTTGAGACAGCATCTTGAACTCAAGATCCTCCCTGAATGCTGTGCTTACGAGTGTGCACCCCTTGCTTAGCTTAATATAACGATATTTCTGAAACCACCCTTCAAAACTAATTTCTAATAAACTCTTCCGCTTGGTGCCATGTGAATGTCATGCTCAGTATACCTCTTGATTAGCTCGCCAGTCACTCTTAGCCTGTGAAACTGGACCTTAGCTCCTGCCCCAGCCCAAGGGCTGCTCCTATGGCCACTGCTTTCTGTAGCTGTACTCTGTGCCCAGCTGACTATTTCTTGTGTAGTTGTCTTGCTGACTCTTGTGGTAAGCAAAGAATGACATACGGGTGACTGTGTGCTAACTGCCAGAGCCTGTGAGTGTGTCATGACACAGCAAAGACAAATGAGTGATGTACATAGAATTGAGGTTGCTCATTAGTTGATCTTAAATTAAAAGAGATCAACCTGGATCATCCCAGACCCAGTTAATAACAGGGTCCTTAAAAAGCAGGAGGGTGAAAGACAGCCGAATGAGCGAGTTTGACAAGGATTCAGCCTGCTGGGAAGGGTTTTGCCCTTGGAAGAAAGAGACCACGAACCAAGGAACGCAGCAACATCTTGAAGCAGAAAATGTACATAGAGATAGACACTTTGGAAAAGGCAGAGAAACCTCAGCAAGAATCTAATCCCGGGGACTTTTTAGTCCACAGACAGCTGCCTTTGACTTCTGACCCACAGGACTTTAAGACAATATAGGTCTTTGTTGCAAATTGCAGTGATTTGTTACAACAGCAAAGTCTTAGTCACCGTTGTATTGCTGTGAAGAGACACCACCACCAAGGCTACTTACAAAAGGAAGCATTTAATTGGGGGCTGGCTTACAGTTTCAGAGGGTGAGTTCATGACCATCAGGGTGGGGAGTGTGACAGCAGGCAGGCAGGTGCTGGAGCAGTACTGAGAGCTTACATCCTAATGCAAAGGAATCTGAGCAGCAGGTCCCACTGTGACAGCCTCCAACTGTCCAACCTCAGTAGTTCTCTGTTTTACCGTGATTTGGACTTCGGGGCAGTGATGCCACTGACACTGGGGGCAGTCAAACGCTCACCTCTGGTTCCTTAGTGGCCTTCCATCGAGAAGAAAATGAAACTAGCAACAGCTGAAACCATTATTCCCATTCGCTTCGCCATAGCCCCTAACCGGCAATGCATCAAGTAAGCTACAGGCAAACAAATATGTTCCTAGAGACAGAATAGCAGGATGCCGAGAGACATATTCTGGAGCAATGCAGACCAGCTAGAAGCTCAGTGAATCCCACCCCTTCTTTCCATGGTTGTCCTTAATCACCATCTGCAATGGAGACTGAGGATCTCAGTCACAGCCCACACCATATAGTGGTAACCACACCTGCTACATTAACAAATACAGTCAAGGAACTGTATGACTACCAAGTGAAAACAAACAAACAAACAAACAAAGCCAAAGCGCCATCAGATAACAGAAATAGCTGCTATCTGAGAGCAAAACAGGAAAAATTTACCTTTGCAGTTAAGACAGTTAAGAGAAAGTTCCCATCTGTCCTGTGCAGGTTGGGGTTTCCGTCTGTAGAGGAAGAGTAAGCTCCTGACTGTCCTGTGTTAAGTCCTTGCAAGTTAAGGTTTCTATGTGTAATTAAGAATAAGTTCCCCCTCCCCCCCCCCAGGCAGCAGAGGCACACACCTTTAATCCTGGCTCTTAGGCAAAGGCAGGTGAATCTCTGAGACTGAGGCCAGTTTGGTCTACAAAGTGAGTTCCAGGACAGGGCTACACAGAGGGACCCTGTCTCCAAAAACCAAAATCTAAACAAAAGTTAAAATAAGTTCCTGTTTCTTAGATCTTGATGTAAACTGCAAAACGTGTTTTCCAGTCTACACTAAGTTTGCGAGCCCATCCGCATGATGCCTCTGCTTACCCTTGTTTCTTTCCTTTCCTTGCATTTTTTTTTTTTCTGACGATGTACAAGCAATGGCTCTTGCCCCTGTGTATACCTTATTTCTCCTATAAAAAGGACCTCCAGAATCTGGCAGGGGCTGCTCTTAAATCCTGACTTACAGGTTAGGCAGTCCCAGGGGCACCCCAAAATACAGCTTGCTTCAATTGGACATTTGTGGGTTTGGTCTTTTCTCCTCGAAATTCTAAGGTCTAACAGCTATTCAAAGTATGAGCAGTATCTCCTGACAGCGAGGTTATGGCCAGTTGTCTCAACGCATAGATATTATTGACATGTAGTATCTTTTAGAGTAAAGCTCCAGTGAACACACCCCTTCCTACACCCACTGAAACATACACTGTTATCCGTGCTAGAGCTTCTTCCTGTCAGTAAAGGCAACTGGGTATAGAAATGGAATTTTCTAGAAAGTAGCTGTAAAAATCATATGTGGAAGGACATAACTAACCCTCAGAAGTCATCCTTTGACCTCCACCCACTCATGTGTGTAAGTCTTCCCCCACATAAATAAATCCAATTAAAAAAAATGTAACCCTATTCCAGGCCTGGAGAGATGACTCAGCAGTTAAGAGGTTTATGGGAGATAACAAGACACACTTTTCATTCCCCTAAACACGTTTATTTAACCCATTTGCATTGATGTGTTTGATCACATGGGTGTCAGGGGTGGGGTAGGTGGTTGGGGGTGTGTGGGAGGAGGTTGGAGGGGTACAGGGTGGGGTGTTCAGAGGCTGAAGGTACATCAGGATGTATACTTGCTTCTGATTGGACCTGATAAGAAATGCAATGAATTACAGCTTTTCCTTCTTAAACGGATACAAACTGTGATTTTGGGCCATTTTCCCAGGAACCTGGGTATGGACCTGGCCAGATCCCATCCATCTGACCAGTATTTAATGAAAGCTTGCTTTAGATTTGCCTTTAAACAGTGGTAGTGGTCGTATTCTCCATCGGTGGAATTAACACTGTGACTTACACTGCCAGGATCTGCCTTCATTTCCTGTGTATTGTGACCTATTTTTCCCGTTCCCGTTTTTGAAACTAAGGAGAAGGCAGTGCCTCCCACGTAGGGCCTCTGTGAAGGCCATCTGAGGAATAACATGCAGCCCCTCATCACAGTGTTCCCTGCTGTCAGGAAGAGCACTGAGCAACTAACTGGTCCTTGTATTGAATGGGAAAAATGAATAAGGGTCTAAAAACTTAGACTTCAAAGCCTATATAGGAAAAGAAAACTTTCAAGCTCCTCTGAGCTCCCAAAAGGCAGCCCAACAGACAAGGCTAAACAAAGAACTGGGTATGTGACTAGAGACCTGAGACCAGATAACACCGCCCCCCCCCAGCTGTGTCAACATTCCTGTCCTAAAGGAGACCAGATAGCCATCAATAATTAACAAGCTTATTTCCCCCGCAACATCCTGCTTAATTCTATAATGCCCAAACATACAGTTATTGTTTTGTCTTATGTTACCATGGAAGCTTTGTAATCTCGAGACTTTCAGTCTTGTGGACTTTCCCTTTAAACCCCACCCCCTTAGCTGTAAGCAATATTCTGCTTGCTCCAGAGTGGGCAGAATCCTGCTGCAGCTTGCCAATAGAGAAACCTTTGTTCTTGCATTTTGATGAGTTGTCTCCTTGGTGGTGGACTTCTTGGGGTCCCAAGAACTGGGCATAACATTATCTGATGTTCTCTGAATTAAATCAGCTCTTACCTCCATGGGACTAAAAAGGGATAAGAGATAGTTTATTCTTGAGTCAAATTTGAGTAACCGCATCCCAGGATTGCCCCCCAAAACGTTTCATAAATGTGGTTACATGCTATTTTTTTCTTTTTATTAATTAAAGAGCGAATACCTTGGTGGGGCTAGTGGAGAGATGGGATATATTCTTCTAGACTGGTAAAACTGAAAGACCCCACTATGCATATTGCCTGTTTGAACTGCTCTTGCTAATTGCCAAGGTCAAGTTATGAAAAACGTACAGGAGGGAACCAGGTGCTGCTCTCATCCAGTGCCAACCAGATATCTGTGGTCTGCAGCTTGGACTAAAGCAAGGTCAGCAAGACGGTATCCGGGATGCTGAGAGAGTCATAACTGAATTCTTTGTATTTTGTGCCCAACCCGAATAACCAACTGTCCTTGGTTAACTACAACTGCTACATTTAGATGAAACAATGAAGTCCCTGTAACCATGCTTCTGCTTCTGTAAGCCTGATTCTTGCCACCCCAACCCTATATAAACTGCCTGAGTTTTAACCTCGGCACGCTCAGTCCCCCCGAAAGACTGAAGCGTCCACAGGTACCTGTGTAAACAATAAACAACCTCTTGCACTTGCATCCAGTGGCCTGGTCTCGTCTCCTGGGGGCAAGGGCCTCCCCCCCCCCCGACAGGCTCCAAACTCTTGGGGTCTCTTGGGGGTCTTTCAAAACTTTTCTGCTGAGAATACATTTCAAAGGTTTCGATGGCCCTAAGAATGTTAGGTGGGACTGAAGGGTGGACATGGAGGCTTCCAAAGGGACTACAGATAACTCAAGGTAGTTTAGCTGAGTCTGCAAAATTCTAAGTCTTCCCAATCATTAAGTTTTCATTAGCCATTGGCATTGTTGAATCCTCAACACAGGGCAGCTGTATTTTCCTAGAGAATTAATTTAGAAAGGATGCCTCTCTGTCTAGGGAAAGGGTCTCCTTCAAATAAATCTGTAATTTTAACCAAATACTCAAAACAATACTTTTCAAATTTCATTTGTTTTCTAAGGATGTTTCTTTCACAGAATTCCAGTTTGCTCTCTACAATCAAAATGCTAATGGATGGGGCCACTCTTAGGGATGCGCTTAGGAGGTCACTGAGCCAAAGAGGCCAAATTACAGGTGACATAAGCAGAATCAGAGTAGTCCATGTTTCTGTTGTTGAGGAGCCAACTGTGAAGTGTAGCCAGGACGTTTTGTAGTGTCTCTGTGTCTGAATGGGTTCACATTGGTTCTATGCTAAACTGGGGTGATGGAGTTGGATGCACACCACCTCCTGGCAGAAATGCCGATGATAAATGGCCTGACAGTTCCTCTAAGGACTGACTACTTTCCTGCATCCCAGGAGAGATCCCAAGGCTTTCAGCCAAGATCTGCATCAGTGTTGAGTCCTACCTGTGTGGGCTATATACATCTAACAGAGTATCTGATTCAGCCCTTGCTTTTGACCCCCAATTCAACTCAACAGGAAACCCTCATGATTCTCCCTCTAAGATTGGCTCTTACTCTGTGTGGCCATTGTGAACTTAAGCCACACCCCCAACACACTGGGGGTACTGTGTCTGTGCTTGCCCTTCTTATGACCTATCCCCTATTTAACAACTTTCAGGAATGCAGAGCTGATCAGTGTATGTCAGGAGCAGTCTATCACACATCAGAAAGGGTTTGTTTCTCTTTTGCTCTTAACAAAGGCTTGTAAAGCTCTCGTGAATTGGCCTCTGATAATTCCCTATCACCTACAACTCATGATACTTCAGTCCCGGAGTCTTTTTCTTCTCGAAACATTTCTTTTCTTGCTTCATGAACTCTTCATATAGTCTTCTCCTTGCCTACAACCTTCTTTACCAGGCTCTCCCACCTGCTCAATTAGGAGCCAGAACAAATGTCTCCTCCAACAAGAAGTCCCCTGACCCGTAGAAAGATCTCACTAGGCCATATTACCTCGCCTCATCACTGTGTATTTCCTAACTGGACTGTGATTGTTTCTTTCTGACATACACGTTCATGGTGGTTTGAAATGAGAATGGCCCCTACAGGCTCATACACTAGAATACTTGGTCCCCAGTTGGTGGGACTGTTTGGGAAGGATTGAATTGTTGCCTTGGAGGATGTATGTCACTAGGGGTGGGCTTTGAAGTCTCAAGAGACCATGTCATGTCTCAGCACCCTCTGCCTCGTGCATATGGGCCAGATGTGAGCTCTCAGCCAACGCTACAGTCCCCTGCTGCCATGAAGGGCATGGACTCTAAGCCCCCGGAACTATGACCCCCCCTCCAATAAACTTTATCTTGTCTAACAGTAACAGAAAAGCAAGGACAGAAGTTGGTACCGGGGAGTGAGATATGGCCACGACAAGGTTGACCATGCTGCTTTTTGGAGGAATGAGGAGCGAGGAAAGTGGTTGAACGCTGTGAGGCCATCCTAGCAGGAACTTAAAAACAGAGCAGTGCGGAGAGCAATGTGGGCTACGGAGGTCCCAGCTCAAGAGGTTTCAGAGGGGGACAATATTAGCAACTGCGGTAGAGGCAATTCTTGTTAACCTTTTGGCAAAGAACGTGGCTGCTTTTTGCCCTTGTCCTAAGGCTCTGCCTGAAGCAAGTTCTGGACGAATTTTGTTGGCACAGGAGATTTCAGGACAGTCCAATACCGACTGTTGTGTGGCTCTTAGCGATCACTTTATGCAGGTCTACAGTGAAAAGGATCCAAGCAGGACAGAAGGAGAAAATGAGCACCAGAAGTTTAATGCTGAAACCACATCTTGTGATTAAAGAGTGATTTAAAGAAAGGCCTGGAATGAAACAGCAATAGGAGTGGTACTCTCCAGGCAAGGCCCCACCCAGCTATGCTTCCAACTTACAAAAGGGAAATGCCTAATGAATCTTCTAAGACAAAGAAGAGCTGATTCAACAAAGGAAAGCACTAATAAATCATAGCTTATTCAAATGTAATTCAGTGAGGGGGCAGGTTCTATCCCTAGGGGGCAGCCAGACTTGGCACCATTGTTCATGTGGGTCTGGCTTTAAGAGTCATAAAAAAAGGGGACATGGAATCTCCAGTTAGGGAAAGCCTGAGGCCAGGTGTGGCAGGAGAGTCCCTGCATGGGGAGACCATTGAGTGAAGATGTGAAAATAAAGTCTAGACTGTATTGGAGACCCCAGGGTGTTGGAGGTGTCAGCGCCCAGGGATGTCTGCCAAGCAGAGCTGCACAAAGGGAGTGAAACCAGCCAGAGAGATGTGTGCTGCAGTCAGCAAAGACAGGTGTTGGAGTTTGTTCTACTTTCTTTCTGTCTTGCTTTGGTCCAGTATTTCTCCACCACCACTCCTCCCTTCTGGAATAGTAATGTATACGCTGTGCCACTGTACATTGGCAGCATGTCTTACAAAGAGTTTCCATCTTATAAAGAGATTGCCTGGAGCCTCGGATGAGACTTTGGATTTTGAAACTATGTTGAGGCTGTGAAAGACTATGGGGACTTCTGAAGTTGGACTAAGTGCACTTTATATTATGGTATGGCCATGGACCTATGGGGGCCAGGAAGTAGAATTTGATGGTTTGAATGAGAATGGTCCCCACTTTTTGCACAGCTGGTGTCACTGGGAATGGGTGTGCTGAGCTTTCAAATGCCCATGCCATTTCTCAGTGAGTTCTGTCTGCCTTGCGCTTGTGGGTGAGATGTGAGCTCAGCTCCTGCTCCAGCTCCATGCCTCTGCCTGCTCCCATGATGCTCACAGACTCTAATCCTCTGAAACCCATACGCTTTCAACAGACCCTTGGTCACGATGGTTTGTTCTGGCAAGACGAAAAGTCACTAAGACAATGTTTGTCAACGTCTCTCATCAGAAAAGTGAGAGAGCAGGGACTCTGGGCCAATTCACCAATGTCTGCCAAACAAACACCATTCTTAGCACTTATAAACATAGAGCAAAAATCACTAGAATTCTTCTTCACAATTAAAGCGTATGTACATGTAGTTCCAGTCTTTTTATCTTCATATCTGATTCAAAAAGATAATTATATGCCAAGAACCACACGACCTGGACCGCTATGAAGCAATACCAGCAATATGTAAATACAGTTAAATGTAAAAATGTTTATTCACAATCCTTGAGAAGTTACCATTCCTTCAGAAAATTCTTTATGAACAAAAAGCCAAAAAATTACAACAGTAAGCTTATGCCAAACCAAAAATATACATCTGATGTAATATAAACCTTAAAAAGCATTAACACAGGCAATGTGAATATAGAGAGTACTTTTAAATTATTCCCATGACACAACTATAATTTAAATTTTAAGACATATAAATAATAGCATAACCTAATGTGTATTTACATATCAAAGTATATTTATTTCTATGAGATTAAAAAATGACAAAATTACAGATGTCATTGTATAGCAGTTCAAATATTGAAAGGGTCACACAATTTTTCACGTACAGCAAGAACCTTACTATCTCTACCTGGACCTTCCTGTACTATTCAGAGCATGCACCATCACTGCTGTACAGAACAAAGACAGCAAGGGAGACAGATACAGTATGCTTGCCAAAGTGACACTCACTCCTTAGCCAAAGCCAGGATTTCAGTTAGGGCGTATTTCCAGGCCCTGGTCTCTCGTACGGATTCACAGACACAGGCTGTCAATACACTGACACATTAGCTCCATCCCACAAAGCACCTTGTACTACAAGGCAAAGTAAAGGGCAATACAATCAATGGGACCTTTCCTATCAGAAAGGATTTTATTTACTTTGAAATACCCGTATTTTATTTTCTTAAATCATTCACAGGATATGTTCTGTGTAAAATCTTTCAAAGATCATTCACTGGAAACACAGAATTTAAAAAATGAAAGTAAAAACTTAAGACCTCAATTTAAAGCCAATATGGTGGCATATAGAAGGAAGTAAAAATTTTAAATTTATATTAAATATTATTTTTTAATTATTACCAACTCAAAGTGTACAAACTCTGGAAGCTTCTCTAATCCTATTAATATTTTATGCAGATTGAATGAACATCCAATTAACATATGTGTATATGATAGATGTGGAAAGAAACCCATACATTAGCATGCTTTGGGGTCACCTCCAATTAACCACTGACTACTAGACAACAAAATTAAAGGAAGTCATCAAAGTAAATGATGCTGGAAAAGGGACCAGCCTTCAAAATGAATTCAACCATCTCTCCTCATGCTGCCTTTACATCTGCTAAGAATTAACAAAAAAATACCTTTAGGTACTCATTTCAACAGTAAAATAGGCTTAGTAAAGCAGTCAAAGTAAAACAAATATGATTTAAGATGCAGAACTTGACCAGGGAGAACAAGAAATCCATGAGTGAGTGTTTGATATGTGCGATCACCGAGTCAGTCCTAGGACACAGAAGGCAGATGCTCAGACCACACTTGACGGAAGCACTCAGCTCCTGTGCCGCCTCACAAAAAGGGGCTCAGTGCCCATCTGCACATTCTGGGTGGGTGACGTTTAACATTTGGTAAGTGAGGTCACACAATTTCATCCTATCGGATCTGTTGATCCGTATCAGACTGCTTGGTGGCAGAATCTGACAGTTCTAATACAGGGTTTACAAACCCAGAGTACTCAGAATTGCCATTGTCATCCATCTCAGCACTGACAAAGTCGTTCTCCCACTCCAGCCCATTGGAATCATCAGAGGCGGATGTGGGGTTGCTACCCTTCTTGCTGCTGTACTTCAGTGCTGCCCGAAGGATGTCTTCCTCTGTCTTTGAACGCTCTCTCATGGGCAGCATCCTATTCATTCCTGGCATTTGAAGAACATCGAAAGAAATCTCCGTAAGAATAAAAAGCTGTATTAAAACACTTGCCAGTTAAACCAGGTGTAGTGGGGCACACCTTTAATGCTAATACCCAGGAGGCAGAGGCAGAGAGGCAGCCTGGTCTACAAAGTGAATTTCAGGACAGCCAGGCTACAAAGAAACCAATCAATCAACCAGCAAACCAGCCCGCAGCCAACCAAGCAAGACTTGTCAGCCTAACAACAGCATTGGCCTTGTTTGACTCTAGTTGTGAATGAGCCTATGGAGCCAGTCCTGTGGAAGCTTTCCTAAGAGAAAAATCTGGGTGTGACTTCCACACGCCAAGTGTCTTTGATAAAAATGCAATATTGACCATGTGACAAAATTTCTGAAGAGCCACAAATCTCACACAACAGAGACTAAGGGTTCACTGCTCTGAGTCTCATCAGGCCACTCGGTATCTTTGCCACGGTCTTTCCCCACCCAATGATTGCTGCATTTCCTGGATGATAGCACTGCAGGGATGACACAGGCTTTTCCCCAGGTCCCTGCTAATGCGGCATGCACTTCCAGTACATCAGCCACCCGTGAACTTAATAGAGCAACCGATTCTACTCCATTTTAGCGTGAAGGAAACTGCAGCAGAAGGTACCTGTCTACGAGGTCATAGAGTTATGAAGTAGTGAGGGGAATTTTCTTTTTTGGTGTGTGTGTGGGGGCACTGCAGGGATTAAAATACAGGGCTCTCTGCATCTACTGCTGAGCTACTTTGTAGCCAGGACTGAATTTTAGTATATGCAGTCTGGCTTCAAAGTCTGTGTTCTCAAGATCTTTTGACTCTTTACTACAGTAAAGTATAGATATTTCATAGTTCCAGATTTCACTCAGAATATAAACTGTTAGTAACACAAATCTCCAAAATACTGACACAATTGAAGGGGAGAAAGGACAGAAATTTCTAAATACTAGTCAACATAAAAGAACTAACACCAAGGGTGAGCAAAGAGGTTCAAATATTTCTGACCTTAGTCAGATTTCATAGCAAAGAAAGAGTATTAAATCCCTACCACTGTCGTCTGTCATTCCTGAAAAAAACTTACAAAGAATCAATTGAGGCAAGTTATTACACTAGATGGGAACATTATAAAAATATGAGCCAGGGTTGGGGAGATTGCTCAGCTGGTAAACTGCTTGTCATACAAATAAGAGAACCTCAGCACCCATGCAGAAGGCCAGGCATAGTGACACCCGTAATCTGAGAGCTGGAGAGGCAGAGACAAGATTCCTGGGGCTCTAATGGCTGGTTAGCCTAGCATAATCAGTGAGCCCAGGTCCTAGAGACCACCTCAAAAAACAAAAGACAGCTCTAGAGAACCGACACCTGAGGCTGCCCCCGCCTCCTCATACATGCACACACACACACACACACACACACACACACACACACACACACACACACACGCACACACACACGGTGCATACACACATATTTACAACCATAAAAAAAACCTATGTGGGCTGAGAACTCCTATGACTATGGATTTGTACCTTGGATTGAAATTGCTCTAAAGGAAGCTGCAACTGTGTAAAGAAAAAAAAAAAAAAAAAAGGTTTTCAGTGGATTCTTTCCTCTGCCTATGCCACTTGAACAATTTTGCTAATAAGTGAGTAATGACCAGGACAACCTTATCCATGAATATGATTAGCACATGTAGATGACAGAGTAAGGACAAATGAGCTGGTGACTGGGATCCAAACCTACACTGAGGTAAGTACAGGACGGGGGAAGGGGCATCACTGGGAAGATCAAACAAACTAATGCACTGTCATCAAGCTCTGCCTGCCAGTCTAATAGACAAAACAAATTAGCAGGATTAAAGCACATCTAACAGCCATTCCATCTCAACAGTCTATGAACTGCTTAAAGCTTACTATTTCTCTTGGAGTTCTATATTCTGTAATTCTTTCATATATTGCTTATTTTTTAACATGAAGATAAAAAATTGGATTTTTCTTAATGAAGTTATGTTGTAGTTAAATAATTTAACTACAATTCTGAGCACTTGTATGTATGTACCACTGCCTATACTAGGTGTTTTACATATTTTATGTCTACCATATTCATCCCTCCCAAATACTTACTTATTGTTTCTTTTTTGTGTGCAGAGGATCAAACCCATGTCCTTGCACACACCAGGCAAACATTCTACTTTTGAACTACATTACTTTCCTCAGACAAATACTTTATTGTTTAGTAATACATTAGCACTTATATAAAACATGAAAAATTATCCTTTATTCTTCCCTTTGAAGATGAACAACAAGCATGGCTTAGGGAGAGTAAGGAATTTATATACGGTACTATGATTTGGAAGACTAACCAGACAAAATTCAAACTTATATCTGAACAACAGCTTGTGTTCTACAAAACACCCCCGAGAATCGCTCCCTGATACCGGACATTAACTGACTTTTGACTTGAAACTGCTCAGGAAGAGGCAGTAATCCCTCATGTGGAAAACTTCCTGAGCTAGGTTAGGAGCACTTTTGAAAAAATTAACATCTGCTTTCTAAATCCCAAGAAGCAAAACTTAAGTAATTTTCTAAGCAATTTACCAGGAGATGATAAATGATAATAAAGTAACAGTCATGGTTCTGCTGGATGGCTGAGCTCTAGGGGTGCCTGATACCAAGCAGATGGCCTGAGCTCAAGCCCTAGGCCCCACATCATGGAAGGAGAGAACCAACTCCCAGAGAGTTGTGTCTGACCTCCCACATGTTGTGCTGTGGAATGATCTTTTTGTACGCTGTGAAGATGTATCACTCTGATTGGATTAATAAAAAGCTAAAGGGTCAATAGCTGGGCAGGCTTTCTGGGCAGAAAGGACACTGGGAAGAAGGGAGACCCAGGAGATGCAGAGGAAGCAGCAAGGGCAACACAGAGCAAAGTTAACCAAGCCAGTAAAAGAACACAGATGAAAAGAAACGGGGTAATTCACATTGAAAGAGCTAGTCAGAAACAAGCCTAAACTATCAGCTGAGCTTTCATTATTAGTAACTCTCTGTGTCATGATTTGGGAGCTGGCTGGCAGGACAGAAACAGACACCTTACACATGTGCAAAGAAACACACACACACACACACACACACACACACACACACAATAAATATAAGAAACAAGAAACAGTAATTGTCAGCTGGGTGTTATAGCTCATGCCTTGAAGCACAGTACCCAGCAGGCAGAGGTAGGTGGATCTTTATGAGCTGGGGCCAGCTTGGTCTATAGAGAGACAACTAAGACTACACAGTGAGCCATTAAAAAAATTGTGATTGTGATTTCTTTTATGGGCTTGAATATACTCAGTTAAATACCACAAAATACAAGGCAGGAAACATTTGAACCAACAAGGGTCAGTGTGACTTGAGGGTCACTGAGGTAACAGACCTTCTTCATCTTCCCACTCCAGATCTAAGGAGGTGCTGTCGTCATTCCCACTAGTTGATTTGGTTTTGGTCATTAAGTCACAGCTGCTTTCAGTATTTGGTGTCAATACTGTGGCGTCAGATGAGAGTCCTGGAACACACAGCAAATGAACAAAATGTCACCTGTACTCTTACCACAACAACCATCTTTCTTTTCTTTCTTGGGGAGCAACTGACTCTTTAAATCTTAAAGTTCCTCCAGACTTCTACTAATATAGTTCTTAATGTGGCAGAAAGTAATTTGAAAATGTTCAGAGAATATTTTAAAAGACTTACTGCTACTTCGAAAAACTTCGTACTGCGACTTTATATTTCTCAAACAAGATTCAAAGTCATCTTCTGGTCCTGTACTGTAATAAAAGTGAATTAAAAAAAATTAAAATGCATTTGGAATAGATGTAATAGAATGAATACTTATGTGAGTGATGGTATTTCTGGCTTGAAGCCTCTTCCCCAAGTTGTAATTGCAGAATATTCACTAGAATATTCTGGTGAAAACAGACTATCTGTGAAGGCCAACCCTCAAAGCTGAATGTAAGCCCAACTTTACAATAACCCTGTAACAACAAGCATGAGCATGTTCATTAAGAAAAAGGAACAACTAAGGTTACTACCAACTTACCTGAAGGAATCCAGTTACCATACCCTTTTCTACATAAAGATGTTATTACTCTTCCAAATGCATCAAAGTCAATTTGAATAAAGGATCACTTATAGTTTAAAAATATTCTCAGTATTCTACAAGTCAGTGTCTTAGAGGAAAGTATATATGAATATACATACAACAATCTGTGTACACACACACACACACACACACACACACACACACACACACACACACGAGGGGATACTAAGGCCTGAGCGCCTAGGGCTTTGAGTGGGTAAATATATTCACAAACATCTGGAGAAGAACAGTCTATTTGGAAATAACACTCTCTGCCACAAACAAAGAAGGAAATATACATTGCTCTTTACCTGTGATAGTCTCCACTGCTAGGATGATAGTGCTGTGTAACTCTCTGCTTTTCTTGCTTTGGAAACACAATGTAATACAAAATCATTTTGATGTCAAGTTACATTTTTAAAAAAATATCCATGCAATGCCAACATCCTTTGCCTAGTGTTTAAAAACAAAAAGTTAGCATCATTCTACTGAAGACTTTTCCTTCTCCAATCCTTCTATATCCTCTTATTTAAGGACAGAATTATTCTCAGTTCATCAGGGAGTGATGCTGTAGTACTGAGAATATTTCGTGTTGTGAAGTGTACTGGCGCCTCTAGCCTTCTCAATACTCCTAAGAACCTCCATGACTAGAAGGGTAGGCAGGAAGCCAACTGTTAGGCCATGCTGACATCTTCTTCAGCAAGGAAGGAGCAATGTGAAGGTTTGTAAGGCTGAGCTGACTCAGGATATGTTAATGAAAGTGGATTATTTGGGATTCAGCACGGGATTCTAGAGCTGTGCTTTGATAGTGGCTGTGTATTCCTGGCATCACCTTCTGGTTCTTCATCTGTTGGTTACAGATGGCTACTGTCCCACCTTAGCAGACTCAGTGACTATGAAAAAGCAGTGAGCCGGTACATGTCTGTATAGTTGGGTCCATGTATAATATGCATATGATGTATTCCCAGAACCAACATTTACTCACGGAAGCAAGAACACAAGAGAACCTAGATTACCCAAACTGACACATGCTTCAATGGGATGCTTTAACCCAATGGTTCTCAACCTTCATAATGTGGTGGCCCTTTAATACAGCTCCTCATGGACCCCAAACCACAAAGTTATTTCATTGCTACTTGGTAACTATAATTTTGCTACTGTTATGAATCATAATGTAAATATCTGATATGCAACCCCTGTGAAAGGATCCTTTGACCCCTATAAGGGTCACGGCCCACAGGTTGTGAGAATCACTACTTTAACCAGATGCAGTGGAGAATTTATTACTGTAAAAAATAATGTCTATATTAAGAGCAACAATTAGTTTAGTAGAAAGAAGTTAATTTTAATGTTTTCCAGTATTTAAGATGTACTAAAAAGGCCGAAACCCACCCCTTCAGAGAGAGAAAGAGATAGTTCACATAGAAATCACAAAGACAGGATTTTTCAGTTTGTCTAAATTTCTACATGTGATTTGAGTTTTGTACTATGAACACTGTATCACAACACTGGTGGCAAATCCACACAGCCAATTATGGAGGGAGACAGTAAGCAGTGTACTGGCTAAGCACCACTGCCCTTGGACTCTGGCTCTCCTGTGTCTCAGCTATAAAACCTGTTTGTCTTTCAGCTTCCTCGTCTGTAAAAATAGAGATTTCAAATGTCCCCTTTCTCCTAAGACTGCTGTGGATTTTCAACTAAGAACAAGAGCATGACAGACACTAGCAGTAAGCAGTAAGCGCTATCGAGCTATGTCATGGTAAGAGATGGTAAATCTGTCTTTCCTGATAATATGCCAAAGATGTTCTGAGGACTCCACCTCTTAGTGTCTCAAATACGTAAGAAATTGAGAATTAAACAATACCCTTCGTAAGCCATAACTCATATAGCTTGTCTTATATTAAGTATAAGAATCTTACAATTTTAAGAAATTGTTTTAAAAATATTCACAAAAATAAACTAAAATGCCTGAGCAATTATATTGAAGGCTAGTTTTGAAGTATTTGCCTGGTAAACACATTTCCCCCAAAAGAATTTGAATTAAGTGCACTAGAATTCATCTTTAGACTAAATGAGAGTTGGCTCCTGCTAATCTAGAGTACACAGCACATGGCATCAAGCTCACATTTATGCTTCTTCTAGAAGGTAAAGATGGGTTCAGCTGCCTTTGAGATTCCTAAGGATGTATGTGTAAGTACGTCCTCTGCTAACCAAAGAGCTGTTGGTGCTAGCAGGAAAGTCCCAACTTGGAATAGTCAGAGAGAACAGGGAGAGACAACCCTGGTGTGCGCTGGGGTTTCCCCCCTCACCTCCAGGAGCTTTCGCTGCCTTGCTGCCCTGGCTGCTTCACGCTGGGCAGCGTATAAAGCTTCTTCTTCTAGTCTTAACTTCTCCTCTTGTAAGGCTAACTGTACATGAACAAAACGGTAAGGATTAACAGAAACCAGAACCTGTCTAGCTGCTCTAAACACCAGCTCTTCCGATTGTAAAACAAAACCGAAATCACTGAAAATAACTATCTATGAAGCACATAAAAATTTAGATTTCTGTGGCTGCCCATTTCAAATTCTTTTACAAAATACCCCAGATGATATATAGGACATTATTGAATTCTTTAGAAAATGTAATCAATGTTCTTTCTTTCAGTTACCATTTTAATACCTGTCACCTGACTGCAATGGTTCTGGCCCTCACAAATCAATCATCCCTAAATCTAAGGCCAAATCACACGTATGCTTTCTCCACTTAAGTGACACCCATACACATTTCTCAATTTTATTAGACTCCTTATTCAAAAACTACTTTCATATTTAAGTTCTTACATTCACAATATCATACACAGGACCTTAATGCTAAATACTGCACTAACCTCTTTTTCCTTTAAAGTACTATAAGCATCTCTCATGTAGATGAAATCAGTACTTTTTTTCTTTTTTGGTTTTTCGAGATAGGTTTTCTCTGTGTAGCTTTGTAGACCAGGCAGGCCTCAAACTCACAGAGATCCACCTGCCTCTGCCTCCCGAGTGCTGGGATTTAAGGCGTGTGCCATCACCACCTGGCTAAATCAATACATTTGTAAATCACAAATGGTACTAAATATATTGTTTTTTATTTTTACTTAAAAAATACTTTTGGTACTGCAGACTGAGCCCAGCACCTTTATAGCCTGACCAGAAGGTTACTTCTGACACAGGGTCTTATTACATATAGTTCAGGCTGGTCTCCAACTTGCTATCTTCCTAAGGCTAGCCTCAAACTCATTCTCCTACCTGCACCTCTCAAGTGCTGGGATTACAGGTACAAACCACCATGCCCAGATCAAAAGACTGCTTTTAAATGTAGAATGGTACACAGATGATTCTCTCTAATTAAGTGGCAATGCAGCTATGATTCAGGCCACTTCCATACTTTATTAACGACTGTGACTGGTAAGGGGTACTTGGTTCACTGAGAACAAATAAACCCAAGACAGACAAAAACTTACACATGGCTCACTGTGAAAGAGGGCAGGTGGTTTGCCTTGACTGGGACAAAGGTACTTGCTCTTGCTTGGCTTTCCTATCTGGGAACTATCTCTAAAGAGCGCTCTACTCTTGTCATGTGACATCACATGACCTCTTAACATGAAACCAAAGTAACTGTAGTGAGGGGAATAAGCTTCCACTTTGAAGTCATTTTTCTTCTATGACGTGATCGGAGGTCAGTGACTGCTGAGCACCACCCATCATCAGGCTTCACATGTATCTAAGCAGCAGAGCACACCACTTACCTCCCTCTGGATTTTCCTATCCACGTCTTTCTGTTTCTCAGCGATTGAATCATAATGCCTCTCTTGCAAGTCAATAATTTCTTCCTCAGTAAGTGGCCTAGAGGAAAGAGGGAGGGAAAGGAAAAACAAAACAAAAGCCCTTCTGATGAACCTGAGTCCAAACAAAACATTCCAAAAGCCAGGGGAATGCTGAAATTTTACTGCCAAAAATTGTATTAAAGCAACCGGATACAGCTTCAATTATGTAAAACTATGAACTGAAATACAATAGTAGCCCTCAGGACAGTGTACGATGATATGCGTTCTCTTACTCTACAGCTGTCCCTTAACAAGTATGGACTTTGCTACTCTCTACACGGGGTCTAACCCATGGCTAACATCTCACCACAGAAGATAACTTCAGTGTGCTGTACTCTATTCCCAGTGTTCATAGTGAGAGCCCTACCTTCCTCCCTGGACCCCTCGTCCTTCCTCACACTGGTCCAGCCAGCCAGTATCTCCTGGCCTCCACTGAGGATAGGGAAATCGCAGGAGGTCTGAATTCTTTCTTACTATACACACCTTCCTTTGTTCCTACCATTACATCAGTCACTCTGGACCCTGAGTACTTTCCACTTTAGTCGTTTCTGCCGTGGGCCGCTAGATTTAAAAAAAGGAAAAGGAAAAGGCAGCTACAATTTGGCTCTCAGTCCCCTATATTACTCCCCAACTTTCTTAAGTTTCTTATTCAATTTTTTTCTTAAAGGTAACTTAATTTCATTTCTACTCTCTTGCTTAAATAAATCTTATTCTTCCGCCCCTTCCCTAAAGAGGCAGGCTCCTTAACCTACCTGAGGTCACTGCTATACTCATGATTCATTCAAGTCCTTGGTTTGTACCAGCTGCTCCCAACACCGTATAAAGTAGAGGCAGAGATTACATGGGAGGGAAATGAGATGGATATATGGTAAGGCCAAGCTTGTGGCAGACTAGGATTTAAATGCGGGCAGTCTAGCACCTTGCTCCTAACTAGTATTGTTCCAGCCTTCATGGCTTTGCCTCCACTCATTCATCAGTATTGTCTTCAGCTTCCATCACTCCAGTAACGCTGGTAATCAATGACTTCTATGTTGTTAAACAAAAAACTTAAGTCCTTCTTCCCATTTAGGTTTCATGAACAGTCTGAACATCCCCTCTAGCCTTGCCTATGTCTGGATCTTCTCGTTTATCTTTTGCCTCGAGAGGTTCTGATGGTTCCTTGTTTCTACCACTTCTCATTCATTCTCCAACTCTTTCACACTGTGTGTCTATTTAACTATCACACCACTCTTCCTCATGCTCCAAGAACCCTATTCTACCATCCTCCATCACAGGTATGTGACCCCACCCCTCAGAGGTGTTGGGGAATGACCCGAAGACTTGGTAAATGCTAGATAAACACTCTTATCACTGAGCTGGTTACATGGGTATGGTGAAGTAGACTGATAATACCAGCATTCAGAGGATCAAAAGTTAAAGGCCACTCTGAACTACCCAGAACTTGAGGCCAGCCTGGGCTGAGTAGCAAATTCCCAACTCTAGACAAATCCTGTAGCAAAGCAAAATACAATACTAAGACCTTAGATCTATTTACCTAAAAGATTACTTAAAGTTTTTTTCATACAATGTATTTCAATCATAGTCTTTCCCCTCCCTCAATGCCTCCCAGATCAGATCCAATTTCATGTCCCTTCTCTCTTCCCCTGGGCTTGGGTCCTGCCCTGGAGTATGGTTGCGGATTTGTGTCCACTCCTCCTTTTCAGTGCTGGGATCTTGTCTGGTTTGAACCTAGGCAGAGACCCTAGACCTTTACTCCATAACTTTCACTGCAAGGAAGACTCACATTTGCATCACTCTATACCGTCCCCAGTGCTTCCTTCTAATCAATGTCACACTGTGTATGTGCATCTTTTAACTAATCATTGCTAAACCAACTCAGAGATCAAGCCAGATGTCATCTATTTGAAAGAAGCCCTTTTGGACATACCTCACCCCCACACATTTTGGTCACAGGGATTCTCTATGATCTATGACTGCTGTTTTAATTGCCACTTTATACTGAAATGTTATCTTTAGGAGCTTTCAATAGAATACACACTTTCCTCTAAAGCAGAGACAAACACACTCAAGGTGGGGGAGAAAGAGACAGAGATAGAAACACACACACACACACACACACACACACACACACACACACACACAAGCACAATGCTTGAAACTAGACTTACCAGGGCTTTGCATGCTCTGCAAGCACTCTACCACCTAGCCACATTCTCAGCCTTTCCCCCCTTGCTGTAAAGAGGATCTCGGGCAGCCCAGGCAGTCTTCCTGTGTGTGCTAGCATAAGCTAACTTCCCCTGATTGTGTTCTCCAGTGCTGCCGTCACATATCTCCCTCATCACACCAAGTCCACGCCTGACCTTTCAATTCCAGTATCAAACATAGTGCCTGGCACAGGGACAGCTGCCCAATAAAGGTTTGCTAAACTAAAAAAATGCAAGGACACAATAACCAAAATAGGAAACAATTCCCTTGACACTAGGAACTTTTTTTTTTTAATTTAATTTTATGTGTATGGGTGCTCTACCTGCATGTATGTATGTCTATACACCAGTCACATGCCTGGTGCCCAGGGGGGCCAGAAGATATTAGATCCCCTGGAACTGGAGTTACAGATGATTGTGAGCCACCCTGTGGGTGCTGACAATCAAACCTGGGTCCTTGGAATAGCAGTCAGTGTTTTTAACCACTGAGCCAACTCTCCAACTTAGGAACTTTTTTTTTTTTTTTTTTGGAGTTAAAGACAGATACTTCTTTTTCTATTCTATGCAATGCTACAGCAGATAATTATAAGAGTCTAGTTACTTCTGAAGTAGCAAAAGAGTTTCTGAGTTGTAGAATGCTTTGGAGCAGTGGTTCTCACCCTTTCTAACGCTGTGACCCTTTAACACAGTCCCTCATGTTGTGGTGACCCCCACCATAACATTATTTTGTTGCTACTTCATCACTATAATTTGCTACTCCTATGAATTGTAATGTAACTATCTGATATGCCCCAAAGGGGGTCTCAATCCACAAGCTGAGAACCACAGTTTTAGAATGTATAATGTAGAAAAAGGGTAAAGCACAAAAAGAACTGGAATTATCAGTACTAAGTGGTTTTAAGAAAACTAAATGATATATAACCTAGGCCTAATTTTAAAAGACTAAGAAACTGGTATAAACAAGAAAATTTTATTATCAAAAGTAGTGTTTGGGGGAATATATAATTTGTCTTTTATGTAAAGAGAAAATTTGTTTTCTGAAACTAACTGTTCAGTGTCTTGAAGACTATGATATGAATCTCTCTGGAATTTGGCTTCAAAAGCTCACATGCTGTTGTTTAAACGTTTCCATTCCATCCTGCAGGGAAGCTACTTAAGAATGTAAACAAGTCAAAATGGCTCCAGGAAGGCCCTGAAACTGACCAGATTCACTAGGCCCCTCCCTGCCAGAGTGAGCAATGAAAGCTTCCAGTCTAGTTCAGATAAGGAGAGCTGCATAGAAAACACCACAGACAAGCCGGACTGCAAAGTCTGAGACCAGACCCTCTGCAGCTCAGTGGTTTAGACCAAGCAAGGCACCTGGAAAGGACACTCGCTGCCCTGAATTACCTGCAGGCTGTGCAATATGCTCCAGGTTCCCAGCTTTGTGAGCGGTCTGTCACCCATGCTGGGTCTTTGAGTCATTTCTACTCCGATAAGTAACCCCAATAAACTCACTGGTTCACCAAGTTGGACTCTGGTGGTATCTGCCCTTTGGTCTGCGGTGGGCTCCCTCTCTGGGATGAGTTGTACCACCCCAGGAAAAGCTTTGTCACATAACACTTACATATTTTATTGTTTTGAAAAGCCTTACCTATGGTTGCTTCCTGGGCTCTCCCCCTGCACAAAAATTAAACAAGTAAAATATTTTTCACTACTTGAACTCACTATCTAAGGCAAGCCAAAGCAATTTCATTCAATCAAAAACAGTTTCTACTTACCTATGTCTGTCACAGTAAGCAAATTTCATTATTAAAAGGATTTGAAGCAAAAACAAAAAAAACCTTTACTATTTTTCAAAGGCAATTATGGAATAACCATTTGCTGAATAATTCTTAATTTTTCTAATATGTGATATGTAGCAAATGAACTAACAGGAAATGCCAGATAACACACTCACTATGACTTCAACATTTGTAGCTGATTTCGGTTATTCATATTTTAAAGTTTTTTGTACTCCTCCCCTGGAAATCAATACTGTTTAGACCAGTTGTTTTCAACCTGTGGGTTATGATTCCTTTAGAGGAGAGGTCCATGCCATTCATAACAGTAGCAAAATGACAGTTTTGAAGTAGTAACAAAATAACTTTATGGTTGGGGGTCACTACAACATGAGGAACTGCATTAAAGGCCACAGCACTATGAAGGGTGAGAACCAGTGCTTTAGACTCTCTGGCCACTTGAAAGCATGCAGAATAGCAAATAACTAAGAGTTGGCCAAGGATGTAAAGAAGATGGGTGTCACTTCGAACTCTTGTTACACTTCTCACACTGAAGGAGTAACGTCCATCGCCTTGCCTGCACTTTGGGCTCTGTGGTTTCACTATTCAAAACAATCTCTGACACGGGGATATTCTGGCTTAAAATATAACAAAATACCTGCAAATATGGTGTCTAGCTGCTCTCTGGTGTCCCTGAGCACAAGAAGGTGATGCGTCTTGCACTGAGAATATGTGGGGTAGACAACTTTCAATAAAGCATGTGACAGATAGTCAGCATCGATGCTAAGGGAAGTGTTTCCACAGAAACACATGAAATAGGCCTACACATTTATCAGGTGATGAAATGCTATGATCAGAGGTTTCCGGAATCTATCTCAGTGCCCGCCCCTAGGAGGAAGGATTTCTGACAGCATTCCCGGGACTCTGAAACATTTTAACTACCATATGAACTGGGGCTGGTGAAATGGGTCAGTGGTTATGACCAGGTCAGCTTGGGCACAGTGAGCTGAACTTAGTTCCCAGCACCCACACCTTGTGGTTCACAGCTGCCTATGAGTCCAGCTGCAGAGGATCTCATCTACTGCCGCCTTCTTTTACTCTCTGAAAGTACCTACAGCATATACTCAGCAGAACATACACATACATGAATAAACATAAATCTAAAAAGAAGAGGAAAAATTGACTGGCGCAGTTTCTTTTCAAAATATAAAATCCAGTAGTTGCCCCCACTTTTTTTTCAATAGCAAGCCTTAATTACTATTAAGAAAAATTTGGGTATTCTGAGTATTTCTTATATATTTAAACTATTCCTATCTGTAGCTAAAATATAGTACTAAGTTGACAATAGGAATCAAATTCTCAATAGTCCATATTCATGTAAGAAGCAGCATCGCAAAGCAGGATGGTACGTAGCCATGACCATCCCAGGTGGGGCAGAGGGGAGGCTATTCAGCAGAGTAAGACCTAGCAAAAGCCCGAGCAGTTACTGAAGAGCACCTTAGGGAAAGCCAGCAGCGCTTCTGACAGGCAGGATGCTGCTGAGGTGGACTATGGAGCTGAAGGAAGTCTTGTTGGTGAAACGGGGAAGACTGAGGCAGGGAATGGAAGGAAGGAGGCTCCATAGAAGGTGGGTGCTGCTTCTCTAGGACAACGAAGGTTGGACAGGTCCCTAGACTGACTATCTACCTACCAGATGATGTATATGCCTTGTTTCATGAAAGGTCTTTTTTGTTTTGTTTGCAGGGTTTCTCAGTGTAGTGTTAGCTGACCTGGAACTCACTCTATAAGACTAGGCTGGCCTTGGACCCATAGATGCACCTGCTTCTGTCTCCTAAATCCTAAGTGATTAAAGTTACGCACCACAACTGCCTGGTTCAGACATTCTTTCTATCAAATTACTTTGAGAAATGCTGAACTGAACAAATTTAAACTACTTTAATAATTAAAAGTTTGTGTATGTGTGTGTGCACGCACGCACGCATGTGTGTGCACTTGACTGCTCAACTCCCATGTGTGAGGTCAGAGGACAACTCACAGGAGTCAGTTTCCATTTTCTATCAGGTAGGTCCTGGGGGCTGAACTCAGGTTTGGTGGCAAGTGCCTTTACCTGCCGAGTCATCTCACTGAACCTATGACTGAAATGCTCAGAACAAGTTGGATACACTTCCTCTTAGAGGACAGTAGGAGGTGAGTAATCTACACAAATTCATAAACTTACAGTTGGGCATGGGCACACAAACTTGAGATCTCCCAACTATGCTTCTAGATATTAAGTATATAGCACAGCTCTGATTCGAAGTTGCATTTTTTTTTTTTCATATTTTAGCATGTCTATTTTTAGGCTCATCTTAAACTTGACTGAGTTTTTAATAAAATGAGATAGAGAGAATCAATCAATATTAAGAATAACTGATGGGAAGTAATGGCTAACATGAGGAACTTTATAGTCATACATACATTCTACCCTCAAAAACCTACAGGAATCATGGATTCTAGGTTAAAGTTACTTATGTAAGGGAGAGACATTAGGAATACCTTCTTTTTTGAAGTTTCTTAGATTCTATAACAGACAAAAATCTGCGTCCAGCATTATATTCACCATTCAGTAGAAAATTCTTAATTTTTACTAACATAAATTAACCAAAGATGGGAAAAATGAAGAATGAACGAGAAGTAAAAAGCAAGACAAAAAATGGTATAACTATTGCAGCACTTAGTGAGAACAAAACGCGAACTGAATACTTACTTCATCACTCTCTACGAGATTCTCAAACTGAAATGACAGAAAGGGAACCATTAGGAGGGATATTTTCTCGTGTACACACATCTCACAAGGAACTGACACTTTTCTTAACATTAAAAATAATACATCTTTACAAGGAATCTAAGAAGTGTAGTAGCTTTTATAATCAGCATATTTGGTAAATTCTAGCCCACAAACAGCACATATATCATTACTTTACTGTTCATTCAGTAGCCAGGCTACTCTGAAGGCAAAGGCAGGAAGATGCTATGTTCAAGGCCAGCCGTGGTGACAGCATCAGTTTAAGGCCAGCCTGTGTGAGTTAGCAAGACACAGTCTCAAAATAAAAAGTGGAGATGAGGATGTATCTCAGAGTGCTAACCAGGCATTCATGAGACCTGCCTCCTATAACAATCAACAATACTAAAATTAGTAATACACACACACACACACACACACACATAAATACATCAGCCCTTACTAATGTGTTCTGGATCCTTCTTCATTATCTTAAAGACCCAGGTTTGGTTCTCCACACCTACATGGTAGCTCACAGAAGTCTCTTATCTTGGCCTGGTGGTGGTAGCACAGACCTTTAATTCCAGAACTTGGGAAGCAGAGGCAGGCAGATCTCTGTGAGTTCCAGGCCAGTCTGGTTTACAAAGGGAGTTCCAGGACAGCCAGGGCTACACAGAAAAAATCCTGTTTCAAAGCCAAAAACTAAAAACCAAAAATCTGTAACTTACTGGGAATCTGTCACCCTCTTCTGGTCTCTGTGGGCACTGCATACACACAGCACTCTTACATGCAGGCAAAATCTCATCTACATAAAACAAATCTTAAAAAACAAACAAACAAACAAACAAAAACTCTGGGCATTTTGGATCCCATCCAACACTCAAGGACTCACCTCTATTGTCAAGTGCTCTCCTCTTGGGCATGTTCTAAAATACTTGGACCTGGGGAGAAAAACATAAAAACGTTAAAAATCATGTCTAGAACAGAATTAATATTGTGGCATAAAAGTATTGATACAACAGATAAGTATAAATTCTCTAACATATATAATTTATATTTGTACTTCTAAAAATAAATCAAATTTACCTAAAAAGTATAGTTTAGATTTTTAAGTTTAGTTAACCAATCTTTTTATTGGCATTGATGTATATTAACTGTAATAACTTATACAAATATCACATAGAAGAGAATACAGTGACATTTTAAATTTGAACTTATTTTAATGTATCAAGTAAAATATCTTGTTAAAAATGGAGGTGTTTATAATGAAATCACATTATACATTGTACAAATGTCAATGAAACCCATTATTATGTATAATTACTATGTCAAAGAACAAGAAAGAGCCTTTAAAGATAAAGGATCATACTAAATAATACACAATGAGTACACCTCTGACATTTTAAAGGTATGTAAAACAGCACAACTCTGGAAGGATGAGCCCAGCTATGGGAGGTCCTGCCTGCAATTGCATTGTTTACAAGGCTGAGGCAGGATGGCTGGCTACTGAGCATCTGAAACCCTCAGGCCTTGGTCTCAAAACAAAACATATATAAAAGGCTTTTTGTTCTTTTCTCATGCCTTCAAACACAAAAGAAGGAAAAGAACTCATAAATATGTCAAGTGACATACAAACGTGTCACTATATCAACTTTAAGTTTAGTAGAAACCAAAAGTGTATTCTATCTATGTGGATCCTCTATCCACAACTGGTTACAGTGACAACAAGCATATTCTTGCCTGCCTGACTGCCCAACCACAAACCACATACCCCTAGACTTCTCTTGACCGGCTCAGCGTTCTCTGGAAACCAAACATAGCTAATATGCCCCTGATAGCTGTATGGCTTCACTTTCTAAAAAGATTAGACCGAAGCCTTATTCACAAAGAACAGATATTGATTCCTACAGTAATAAGAACATATTGATTGGTTGGAGTAAATACGCAATATGGTAAACTTAGGTACTGTGTTTTTGTTTTTTTTTAAACTGTGGGTTTTTTCTAAAAACAAGTATCAGATTTTACATATTTTAAAATGAATTATAGATGTTTTTATTTATTGAAACACTGCTGGCGCCTGTACAGCCCAACTACAGACATGTGCAGTATTAAATCTGATCAGTGATATTCGGCTAACTTTGAGCCATATGAAAACTACAGCTGTTGTCAAATGTTTCCCTGTTTTCTATATGGCAGACATTTTGACCATGGTTAGAAAGGCAGATGGTTTAAGTACCACTTCAACGATGCCTCCTTAGTGTGCAAGTAGTATGGCAGTCCAAGGAAGTGCCAAGCAAATGAAGGCCACCAAGATTCAAGCCTGTTATACTACTCACTGCTAAAAGTCTAACAAACTTGGAACACGCAGTTTTAGCATTTCCTACAAAAAGCTATCTTAACTTTTTATTTTCTACCTCATAGTCCTGTTCCAGAGTGTAGGGTAAGCAGTTTGTCAATCACCCAAGATCCTAACCCATCCATCATTAAAGTATATTAACCTCCTACCACACTTTATTAGCATCCATTAATAATCACAGCTCTGTTTCAATAGAATATTCAAGTCTGTCAATTTTCAAACCTTTACAGGACTTTTAGGAGTCTTCAGCTCTATTGAGAAGGTCCCTAGGGGATCTTAGGGATGATTTGCTGCTGTAAGAGGCCAACTTGCAAGCCACTGCAGCAGCACAGAGAATGACAGTGGCTAGGACACAGTGGTAGCGGACAGTCCTGAGGAGGGCTGAGAAGACAAGACAGGCAGAAATCAAGATGGAGCTGTCAGAGATGAGGGAGGTTAGAAACCAAACAAGCGAGCAGCAGGAGAGCAACATCCATAGGAAGCCAAGACAGTGAAGAGCGCAGACTTCAAGTACACAGAATGCACTACAGCTTTTAGTTACCCTAGAGCCATCTCCACTGTCCAGCATGACAGACGCTAGCAGTAAGCGCTATCAAGTACTTGAAATGCAACCAGTCTGAATTTGGAGGGCTGTGAAATGTCAAGTTGAACTGGATGCTAAAGACAGTCCAAAATTAACAACAATCTACTTCAACATCCAGGTAGGCTGCATGGTTAGATGTGAAAAACGTTCAGATCGTCTTCGATTCATCCTTTCTTCATATTTAATCCATCAATTCTATAGCAGAAAACATCAACACACATGTTCCAGGACTAAGCTAAGTGTGTAGCTTTGAGTCTAGCTGTGTTCATTTCATATGTAAAATCAACCACATGAGTGCTGTCATACATTTTTCATAAAAAAGATTTTCACCAAACAGTGGCAGTAAATAGCTGACAACATTCAAAAATAGTAATTTAAATCACATTATCTGTAAATAAAGGAAAACAGGCATCCTATTTTCTAGAACTACTATTGTTAGCACATCAGTAGGTCAGATTTACAAAAGTCCCTGAATTTACTTAAAGAAAGAAAGAAAAGCCAGCCAGAATCTGATTTTTTCTATCATGCCTGTAAGTGAAAACAGGAAAAAACTTTATTCTTTGCCTCTGTATTTGTAGAATGTGAATAAAGATACTGAATACTTTCAGAAGAAGAGTTGGCATTTCTGTGATACAGATTTCAAACATGTGCGTTAAGAGAAAGACACACTTAAGAAAGTCAGTAAGGGTCAAACTTCTCAACTTCAATTTCATTCGTAATAATACAACAATGCGATTAGACAACTCCCAAGTTCAGAGATCTTGGAGGTATGTATGGCTTTTAAGCAAATAACAAGGTGGCACCAGTAAGTGTGAGGAGGCACCCAGATCCTGCTTGTAGCAAAAGTAACAACACTCCTGCCGCCCACCTTGGGTAGCTGAGATGGGAGGGGTGGGGGGAGGAAGAGAAGGGGCACGAGAAAGAACTGCTCTCTGGACTGGACAAAATACATCAAAGACCAGATCTGGGTGTTCTGCTTTGTCTTTGTACTTCCAATAACTATTTCAGGGAGACAGTCTCCATTTTTCCAACTTGACAAGGAGGCAGCTGCCTTGCCATGGAGATGACTGTCTCACCTGTAGGTGCCCTACTCTCTCCCTGCCCAGCTTTGTGCCAATACTTCTGGGCTCTGTTTTGTTTTGCTTGTTTGTTTTTCAAGACGGGGTTTCTCTGTATAGCCCTAGCTGTCCTGGAGCTCACTCTGTAGACCAGGCTGGCCTTGAACTCAGAGATCTGCCTGCCTCTGCCTCCTGAGACCCGGGACTAAAGGTGTGTGCCACCAACCACCCAGCTAATGTTTTGTTTTTACCATTTCCTATTACTTATTCCTAGTTTCTTGTACTTATTGCTATAATTAGGGGAATTTATGCATGTTCTATTTGCTAGAGGGACAAAGGGCTATAATGAAGTCCTTGTACATGTTAATGGGTTGGAAGAAAGTAGCTTCTCAGTAGGTAGAGCAATGGAAATCCCTTATTGGTAAAAGTATTAATTGGCATAAACTTGAAAAACTTTAATATTTAGTACTGATGAAGATGGGTATAAGCTACAAAGCTGTCACTTCACTCCTGGGAGCCTCTTGTACAGGCATAGAAAGGGATAGCATAAGAATAGGACTTGATAGTAACAGCAAAAAACAAAACAAAAAAAAAAAATCCACAAGCACCCTTGAAATAATGGAATTTTTTCCATCAACAAGAGAATGGATAAATTATGGTATTGTAATATAATACATAATATAATGGTACACAGGAAGAGAAATAAGTGGGTGAGCAGGTATGAAAATGGAGTTTTGGATGCACACTGCTCAAAGTCACTGAGAGCAATGACAAACATAACTAATATTTGCTGTATTTACAAGGAACAAGAATATGATTCTTTCCTTAAATCAAGCTGGGCAAGCCAGCATGAAGACGCTTGCTGCAAGTTCCAGGAACCACAGGAGTCTGGGGGGACCGAGTAGGGATGATGCAGAGTGAATGCATGAATAATACATGTAATCAACTTGAGGCCAGGGAGAAAGGCTAGGGTGGGTCAGCAAGAGAGGCAAACAAACACTTAGCAGATAAGAAACTGATGGAGGGAAAGGATTAGACGATGAATGATGATGGCAAGTAGTATCAGAATCCTAATGAGGGTTACAATGTACAAGAGGCAAAAGGCAAGAATGGGTACAGCAAACAAGTAAACAATAGGGTAAGTCAAGACTCCCAGCAGTTAAAGGAGGAGAAACAGTGATGTGAGAAGCCAGGAGAGTCCTCAGGAAATGTGGCAGGGTCACACAGAGCTGAGCTGAGAAGAAAATATTTGAAGGTCACATCATGTGTACATTTAACTTTCATCAACTCAGGCATATGCTTAAGAGAAAAGGGAGACAAAAATTAACAGGCAAAACCTGACCACTGCTGTAACAGAATGCACACCTAGCACCAGGGTGCTCTAAACAGTGATTAAAGGAAACAGAAATGCATTCTCTGCCTTAGTCTGGAGCTCTCCAAAGTTCAGTCGCCCATGGGTGACTTACAGATACTCCTTATGTTCCCGAGAGGTGTCTCAACATGAGACAGATTCCTGCACATTCATTCCACTACTAAAAATGTGAGTCAGGGCTCAACATGTAAAGGGCAGCAGAGAAGCAAAAAAAGAGACTGTGGTGTTGGCACATGGGGCATTCATTAATAAAAAGAATTTAGGTAGCCTGGAAGTAAAAACTGGAGATTCCTGCAAACTTAATACCTTATTATCAAGACAGATGCTACGATAAATTTCAATCTTGTTGAAAACAAACTGAAAATGTAGTTTGTAATGCTTTTCTGTCATGCTGCTTGGTGGGTTAAAGAAACTACAAAAAAAAAAAAAAAAAAAAAAAAAAAAAACTACACACTGATGTTGTTCTTTTCTAATTCATTTTGTATCCCACCTGGTGAAATACAGTAACACAATCCTTCATATTTTGTTGAGGGTTATAAATAAATGATGAGCAACCAAGGTAAATGGTTCCA